ATAATCCCAGAGAGTTTATTAACAGACAAATCAAGAACAACTAGATTGGACAGAACTCCAATTTGAGGAGGAATACTTCCATTCAAGGAGTTGTTTCTTAGATTTAGAGTGTGAATGTTTGTAAGCATTGAGAAGTTGAGATTTTCAAGAGTACCTCTTAATCCAATATTTGGAAGATTTATTTGGGAGACGTGATTGGAGTGATCACATGCAATTCCAAGCCAACTGCAAGAAGTGTTGGCAGTCCATGAAGAGAGAGAAGCTTGACTCTGATTGTCAAGGCTGGCTTTCCACTTCAGCAGAGCATTTGCTTCTGAAGCAATTCCAGAAGAATTGAAAGCATGAGAATGGGGAAATGCAGAAAAGAACATTAGAAGAAGCAACCAAAAGGGTTGGAACTTCATCGACAGAAGCGTTGGAAATATGAACATCATACTGAATTGTTCACAAAAAAGATGTAATTGCAACGTAAGAGAAAGCTTGCATGTTGTTCATGAAATGTGCCGCTACTTATAAACTAAGAGTCAATGGTACATACCCCAGTCAACACTCTTATCTGTATGTCGGCGTATTCCATAATTTATCGTCTTTAATACGGTTACTTTCTTCCACCTAAATTTATTAAGTTATTGTCATATCATCAGTTAATAACACAAATTTGAAAGTCAAAATAAATCATTTTCAAATAGGAAGATATAAAAAACAACTTCCAAATTTAGGGATTATAAAAATATTTTTAAATTTTGAGGACTAAAATATTTTAATTTTCAGAAATTAAAATGTAAATTTTATATTTTGAGTGGTTAAAAAACCACTTTTAAATCTAACGGACTAAAATAAAGTTTAAAGCAAATTTTAGAGAATAAAAATATTTTAGCCGGAAAAATTTTGAAAATGTATTTCCACATTATTATTTTACCGGCCAGATGTTGTTAGCCACGTTAACCATTTTAACTACTAATGTAACGACATTATTGATGAGGAGGGATTATATTTAGAATTTTAAAATTAAAAAAAAAATAATTTAGGGATCTAAATCAGAAAAAAAATTAAAATTTAAAGGTTAAAAGTATTTAACAATAAAGTTGTGATTTTTGTTTGAATTAAATATTTTTTTAATTTTTAAACTTTCATCTGAAATTAGAATATATTTCTATTTAAAATTTTAATACATTTTTATTCAAAATTTTAATAATAAATAGATATATTCATTTTAACTCAATTATTTTTAATATTACTTTTATATGTCATATACATTAATGTTAGTATTTAAATTGTTTCTATAGTATATTTTCGTTTGTTGAAAAATTTATTTGATACATAAAAACAATTACGTAATTAAAATTGGAAGCAAATGACTATTTTAAAGTTTGGAAACAAAAATATATCAATATTTAGAAAAAATAAATTTTAGTTTTACATTGACTAAAACATATTATTTAGAATTTGAATTGATTTGTGTACTCTTGTTTCTACAATTGCATTATTTTTTAATGAAATATTGACTTACCAAGTCATTTCAAATGACCCGTAACATAATGTTCAAAACTTCATGTATATACATATAATGTTGATATCTACTTTTCTACAATAATTCATTACACGTGTTTTAGACTCTAGCTATTTTATTATTTTTATTTATTTGTGAGTAAAATGAAATAAATCATAAACTTAAGATTGTTTTTTAAGGAAACAAAATAATTATTTATAATAGAAAAATTATTTATAAAATAAAAAAATTATTCCCAACAAAATTATAAAATTTATATTTTATTATTTTTGAGTAAAAAGATGTATCTCGCATTTGTCTCTCGTAATGTTTATAATTGATTTGTGGAATCTTGTTTCCATAATTATTATTAGTGTATTACAGGTGTAGTGAGATATATTCTAAAGCTTGCATTTTTGTCATTGAAAGATTGACTTGATCACTTTTTTATAGGTAAGTGTTAATTGTTGGTTTTATTTATTAATGAAAAATGTTGAACTGAAAGTCTCTTTCATTTTTTTAAAAACTCTTCAAATCAACTTATATTTCGATTCAATTTTTGATGTCCTGATTACGAGCTAAATTTAAATTTTTAAAAATCATCATTATGGAAATTCAATTATATAATATCAAAATTAATAAAATAAAAACAAAATAAAGTAAACCTAATTATATTATTTCTAAAAATTATGCACAAAAACTTTAAATAATCCAAGTCTTTTTTTCATTTTTACGTCATGCATTTGGAACATCTGCAACATTCTCTGCTCTCGTATAACCAAAAGTTATACTATCATAGTAAGACACACAACCACAAACACAAACAAATATGAGTAAACTATCATAGCACAACCAATAACAATAAAATTTGTACACAAGAAGCAAACACAACTTAATAACAAATCAGTCATCTATAACACTATCCTACTAACAAAATCATTTCTACATTGTGATCATCATCAACATCTTCATTAACTATATCATGACTATACCATCAACGTTATCCTTATCAACGTTGTCTCCAATCACATCAACGTTAAGCCACTAACATCAACAAAATTATTACCAGCGAGCTACAAGTTTTCCAAAGCAACAATCTTGTTCATTTTTGTTGGAATCTTGCCACTGAGATAATTTTCTAATAAATTGAATTCGTGAAGCTTTGACAAATTTCCAATAGTGGAAGGAATGGATCCAGAAAGTTTGTTTTGATAAAGTAAAACGGATTCCAAATTGACCAGGTTACCTATGGAAGTAGGGATTGGTCTAGAGAGGTTGTTTTGATCAAGAGAAATGGATTTCAAATTGACCAGGTTACCTATGGAAGTAGGGATTGGTCCAGAGAGGTTGTTTTGATTNTAAGATAAATGTATTCCAAATTTACCAGGTTACCTATGGAAGTAGGGATTGGTCCAGAGAGATTGTTTTTATTAAGATAAATGAATTCCAAATTGACCAGGTTACCTATGGAAGTAGGGATTGGTTCAGAGAGGTTGTTTTGATTAAGATAAATGGATTCCAAATTGACGAGGTTACCTATGGAAGAAGGGATTGGTCCAGAGAGGTTGTTTTGATCAAGAGAAATGGATTTCAAATTCACCAGGTTATCTATGGAAGTAGGGATTGGTCCAGAGAGGTTGTTTTGATAAAGAGAAATGGATTTCAAATTGATCAGGTTATCTATGGAAGTAGGGATTGGTCCAGAGAGGTTGTTTTGATAAAGAGAAATGAATTTCAAACTGACCAGGTTACCTATGGAAGTAGGAATTGGTCTAGAGAGGTTGTTTTGATAAAGTAAAACGGATTCCAAATTGACCAGGTTACCTATGGAAGTAGGGATTGGTCCAAAGAGATTATTGCCGAGCAATTGGATTGTTAGAAGGGAATGCAAATTTCCTATTTCATCAGGGATAAGGCCAAATAATTGGTTGTCATAAAGGTAAAGATAACTTAGATTGCTCAAGTTTCCAATTGTGGAAGGGATTTTACCAGAGAGAAAATTCTCAGACAAATCAAGTTCAATGAGTTTTCTCAAAAATCCAATTTCATGAGGAATGTGACCAGAAAGTTGATTGCCATGTAAGCCGAGACGTGATAGATTGGTCAAAGCTCCAATTGAAATAGGTATGGATCCAGTAAGATTACAGCCGCTCATGCCCAGATGTATTAGTTTCCCCAGCATGTCAATTTCTTGGGGCATGGTGCCAGAAAGGCCACTTTCCCCAAGATATAGAAACTCCAGGTTCCTCATATTCACAATTTCTTTGGGAATGGAACCATGGAATTTATTAGCTCCAAATGACAAATTCTTTAGGTCCATGAGCCAAATTCTCTGAGGAATGCTGCCAAAAAGGTTGTTGCCTCCAACATCTAGATAAATCAAATTGTTTAACTTTTCTATAGAGATTGGGATTGTCCCTGTGAGATTGCAATAAGGAACATGAAGCATTCTCAGCTCCCTCAATCTTCCTATTTCTTGAGGAAGGGACCCACTAAAAGTATTTTGTTGCATGTTCAACTTCTGAAGGCTAATCAACTGTGTAATTTCAGAAGGGATAATCCCAGAGAGTTTATTA